CGGAGCCACTGGGCCATACAGGACATCTACTACACAAAAGCCACTCTACCAAGTCCAGGAGACATAACAACTCTACCTAATATATAGAAACAAACAGGTAAGCAGCCACATATCTCAAGTGAAAGAAATGGAAGCAAGCAAACTATTGGATATAGAGTTCAAAACCATGGTTATACTCAAGGATCTTCATGAGACTTTCAAGGATCTAGTGAGAATGTCAAAGACAAAAAAGGACCAGTCAGAAATTAAGCCTACACTAACTGAAATAAAGAACAATTTACAGGGATTCAATAGTAAATGATTCTGAGAATCAAGTCAATGATTTGGAATACGAGGAAGCAAAAAACACCAAATCAAAAGAGCAAAAAGTAGTAAGAATCCAAAAATATGCAAGTAGTGTAAGGAGTCTCTGGGACAACTTAAAGTGTACCAACATTTGCATTATGGGGTGCCAGAAGGAGATAAGAGAGCAAGATATTAAAAACCTATTTGAAGAAATAATGACAGAAAACTTCCCCTACCTGGTTAAAGAAAGACAAATCCAGGAAGCCCAGAGAGTCCCAAACAAGAGGAACCCCAAGGAAGCCCACACCAAGACACACTGTAATTAAAATGCAAGGGTTAAAGACAAAGAGAGAATCTTAAAAGGAGCAAGTGAAAAGCAGTTAATTATCTATAAGGGAGAACAGTATGACTGTCAGCTGATTTCTCAATAGAAGAGAATGGCAAGAAATAGTCAAAGTGATGAATAGTAAGGACCTACAACCAAGATTGCTCTACCCAGCATAACTCTCATTTAGTAGTGAGGGGCAGATAAAGAGCTTCACAAACAAGAAGAAGCTAAAGGGAGTTCATCACCACCAAACCAGTAGTACATGAAATGTTGAAGGGTATTCTTTAGAAGAGGAAGATATAAAAATATGAACAATAAAATGGCAACAAATACATATCTATGAACAATTGCATCTAAAAATCAAAATAAACAAACAAGAAATCTAATGATCAAAAGTAACTGGTGAATAACATAGAATCAGAGGCCTGGAAACATAGAATAGACTGATGAATTTCAGAGAGAAGGCAGGGGCAGGAAAAGACTAATTAAAGATCTTACCTATGAACACAGACAATATGGTGGTGAAGATCTGGGGAAGTGCAGGAACTGGGTGGAGGGGGACAATGGGAGGGGACATGTGTAATGCTCTCAACAATAGAATAAAAAAAGAAAGAAATGAGGTATCAAGCCTTAAAATATGGAGGATCCTAAAATGCATACTAAATGAGAAGCCAATCAGAAAAGACTTGTTTAGCAGTTAAATACTACAGGGATACAAGTATTAAATTCTGAAGTAATGCATAAATCTGCCCTGGATGGTGTGC